AAAGGAATTAATTTATAAACTTTCAATTCTAACGTGTCATGTACTCAATTAACCCGTTATTGCAAAATTTCGGGACTTTAAACTTTGTCTTTTATAATCAGTCTAATTCAATTAAGTCAAATGAATAAAATCCCTTTTAAACTAATATATGCGAGGGCGTTATGAACTTCATTCTATATATCATATTTCGATAAACCCATTACTCAGAACACTCGTTATGTAAAATAGACTCACGGGACTTTAATCTAATTGAATAATTGACACATTAATAAAAAACCGACCTTGAAGAGTAAGTCGTGTTGCTAGTATGTGCAATTAGGCAACCTAGCAATCAAATAAAAGGGCAATGAACCTGTTTGACTTGAATTTTCATTTCCGCATAGATTTACTAAGATTTACGTGCGTTCCTGTTATTATTTATTAACATACCTGAATATACATTTTTTTTTATTAATCGTTTATATAATGGTGATCTTGTTTTATGTCAATTAGTATTTTCTGGTGTCATGTTGTTTGTTGATCAATGGGCAGTGTTTTTTAACCATATTGTTTCGTGTAGACTTTAGTTCGTCATCAGTTAATGTATTTGTTTGATTTTATTTATTATAATTTTCTTTTTTTTGTGTGTGTGGTATTGTATAATAGGAATTATATGGGAAATCCTCTATCACATACTCTGTTTATCTGTATCTTTCATATATATATATATATATATATATATATATATATATATATATATATATATATATATATATATATATATATATATATATATATAATATATATATATGTATATATGTGTATATATATACATGTGTATATATGTGTGTATATATGTATGTATATATACATATGTATGTGTATATATATATGTATATATATATATATATATATATATATATATATATATATATATATATATATGTGTATGAATATAAATATATATATAAACATATATGTATTCTCTCTCTCTCTCTCTCTCTCTCTCTCTCTCTCTCTCTCTCTCTCTCTCTCTCTCTCTCTTTTCTTTTTTTTCTCTCTTGTTTCCGATTTTCTTTCTTGTTTTTTTTTCATTATTTATCAACTATTTTGAGGGGCGTTTTGTTAGTAATTCATAATAATTTCTCTCCTTATGACAGTTACAATTACTCCTACTACTACCACTAATACCTCCTACTTTATTGATAATGATAGTGGTATTGATAACGATAATGATAGTAATAAAAATGGTAATAATGATAATAATAATGACAATGATAATGAAAATGATGATAATAATGACAATGATAATGAAAATGATAATAATAATGACAATGATAATGAAAATGATAATAATATCAACAACAATAATAATGATATTGATAATGATACTGAAAATAGTGATAATTATAATGCCGATAATGGTAGTACTATTGATGATCATGATAATGACAATAAAATAAAAAATAATTATCATTATTATCGTTATAATGATATTAATAATAATAATAATAAAAATAATAATAATATTAATAATAATAATAATAAAAATAATAATAATATTAATAATAATAATAATAATAGCAATCATATCTATAGTGATAATAACAATAATAATGACAATAATAATAATAATGTTGATGATAATAATGATAAGAATAATAAAGATAATGATAACAACAACAATAACAACAACAATAATAATAATAATAATAATAACAATAATAATAATAATAATAATAATGATAATAATAATAATAATAATAATAATAATAATAATAATAATAATAATAATAATAATAATAGCAATAATGATAATAATGATAATAACAATAATGATAACGATAATAATATTAACAATAATGATGATAATGATGATAATAATAATAATAATAATGATAACAAAAACAATAACAGTAATAAATTATAATAACAATAATGCTAATAATGGTAATAATGATAATGATAATGATCATAATAACAATAATGGCAATGGCGATAATGCTAACAATGTTAGCAATAATAATAGAATTGATATTTATAATAATAATAATAATTGAAAAAAAAAACAATATAGAAATTAGAGTGCATTGCGTGTTTTTTTTTCTACCATCAACACAGAAGGGTGTTTTACCATTTATAATAATGATTATGATGATAACGATAAATAATAACAGTAATGATTATAATAGTAATAATGATAATGATAATAATGTTAATGATAATGATGATAATAACTATGATGATAATGATAATGATGAGAATAACAATGATGATAATGATAATAATGATAACAATGATAGCAATAATAATAATAATAATGATAATTTCAGAAACACTGCAAAAAAAAAACAACAAAACGCAACAATTAAATCCCCAAATCTCCCTCCATCCCCCCTTCCTCCACTCCCGGTTTATGTAAAAAAAAAAACAAAAAAACTAAACAACCAAACACATAAACATCACAAACAACAACAAACAAGAAAAATAACAAATTAAACAAATAAATCCCCCCCCTTTTTCATCCCTTCTTTCCCCCGAATCGCTGGCGGTCGAAACCAGACCGAAGTAATAACCAGACCTAAACAACCGCACACATAAAAAAATAACACCACAAACCATTAAACAAGAAAATCGAACAAAAAAAAACAAAAACAAATAAATCCTTAAATCCCCCCCTCCCCCCCTCCTCCCCTCTCCGCAGGGTTTTCCGAAGCGCTGGTGAGCGAAACCAACCCGAAATAATAATCATACCACACACATAAAAAATCACAACACAAACAAGAAAACCCCCCCAACCCCCCCCCAAAAAAAACCCAAACCCAAAAACAAAATAAATCCTCCCCCCCCCCTCCCCTCTCCGCAGGGTTTTCCGAAGCGCTGGCGGTCGCGGCGCGAGTTGCCGGCCGACCCCGCCATGGCTACGAGCAGGAGGAAGCAGGACGAGAAGCACTTGAAGATCCTTCGCGACCTCGGCTCCCAGGCGGCCAATAGGACATGCTTCGACTGCCACCAGAGAGGGACGACCTACATCAACATGACTGTGGGGTCGTTCGTGTGCACGTCCTGCTCGGGCATCCTGTAAGTGCGTGTTCGAGGGGAGAGAGAGGGGTAGGACGGGGGTGGGAGGTGGGAGGGAGGGAGGGATTTCCTCCTCCTCCTCCTCCTCCTCCTCCTCCTCCTCTCCTCCTCGTATTATTCGTATTCCTCTTCTCCTGTTCCTCCTCCTCCTCGTCCTCTTTCTCTTCCTCTCCTCCATTTTTTTCCCGACGTTTCTCCATCCCTCCTTCCTCTCCTCTTCTCTTCTCCTCTTTATCAGCTGGCTCTTCCAACTGCGACTTTCAGAAACGATTGGATTTTCTTTCCTCTTTCCCCTGTTTTGTCTGTTGTTTTTTTTTTGGTTTTCCTTTTCGTAATTATCACGTGTGTTTTTGTGGTAAATCTCTCTGGTTTTCCCGTTACTCTCGTTTTTTTTTTCCCTATTTTTTCTCCTGTTAGTTTCCCCTATTGTGTGGTAATTGTTTTTTTTTTCTCTCCTTTCCTCTTCTTGGTTATATTATTATTACTCTTGTCTCTTTCAACAGTGTTATGTGTATTTTGATTAAAGGCAAAGTTTGGTTACATCATAATTACTGTTTATTTGAGTTCTTTAGTCTTATCTCTTCACAACCTGTTTCTCTGATATTGTTTCTCTCCTGTTTTCCCTTATCATCTACTATGTCTTGCATCATCTTCACTTATATCCATTTCTTTTTTCTCTCTTTTCCTTCCATTTCCTCTTTCCTTTGGCCTCCTTTTCGACATATTATTCTGTGTCAACAATCTTCTTCTGTTTTGGCATATTTTTCCTCTCCAAGGTGAACTTGTGTCAGTCGGGTCAAGGATGACATTTTCTAATTTCGGTGATCCTGCGATGTCACGGAAATCAGCCGAGGTCTTGAGACTTCTTCTGCCGGGAATCGTGTAGCGTTAGAAGCTGTTCGTTGTCGGAAATCATTTGGGGTTGAAAGACAGGTGTTCAAAGATATTCAGTGTCAAATAATTTTTTTTTTCTTTTTTTTTTTGAGTCTTTGCTACCGGATGTCACTTGGTGTTAGAAATCATGCTTTTGTGGAAGATATGTACGGTTAAAAGTTAATGGTTTGAGAGATTGCCAATGTTTGATTGAGATTGGGGATGGCAAGTGGCCGGCATTTTTTCACATGTGTACAGTTTGTAAAGGTTAATCATTCTGAAAGTTGTTATTTTTATATTACTTTTGTGTATGTTTGTGTTCCGTTTATTGTTGATCATAACAGTGGTAATTATGATGACATTGATTACTACTACTTCTATTACACTACTATACAACTCTACTACTCTACTACTATATAACTATAGTACTCTACAACTATACCGGTATACTACTGTACTTTAATTACTATACTACTACAATACTACTACTATTCTACTATTACTATACTACTACAATACTACTACTATTCTACTACTACTATACTACTAGACTACACTATACTACTATACTACACTATACTACTATACTACACTATACTACTATACTACACTATACTACTATACTACACTATACTACTATACTACTATACTAAACTATACTACTATACTACACTATACTACTATACTACACTATACTACTATACTACACTATACTACTATACTACACTATACTACACTATACTACTACTACTATATACTATACTCACTATACTACCTATACTACTATACTACTATACTACACTATACTACTATACTACACTATACTACTATACTACACTATACTACACTATACTATACTACACTATATTACTATACTACTATACTACACTATACTACTATACTACACTATATTATACTACACTATACTACTATACTACACTATACTACTATACTACACTATACTACTATACTACTATACTACACTATACTACTATACTACACTATACTACTATACTACACTATACTACTACTACCTACACTCTATACTACACTATACTACTATACTACACTATACTACTATACTACACTATACTACTATACTACACTATACTACTATACTACACTATACTACTATACTACACTATACTTACTATACTACTACTATACTACCTATATACTACTACCTACTACCCTCTACTAACTATACTACACTCTACTACTATACTACACTATACTACTATACTACACTATACTACTATACTACATATACTACTATACTACACTATACTACTATACTACACTATACTACCTCTACTATACTACACTATACTACTATACTACACTATACTACTATACTACACTATACTACTATACTACACTATACTACACTATACTACTATACTACACTATACTACTATACTACACTATACTACTATACTACACTATACTACTATACTTCACTATACTACTATACTACACTATACTACTCTACTATACTACTAACACACTATACTACTATACTTACACTATACTACTATACTACACTATACTACTATACTACACTATACTACTATACTACACTATACTACTATACTACACTATACTACTATACTACACTATACTACTATACTACACTATACTACTATACTACCACTATACTACTATACTACACTATACTACTATACTACACTATACTACTACTACACTATACTACTATACTACACTATACTACACTGTACTACTATACTACTACTATACTACACTATACTACTATACTACACTATACTACTATACTACACTATACTACTATACTACACTATACTACTACTACTACTACTATACTACACTATACTACTATACTACCACTATACTACTATACTACACTATACTACTATACTACACTATACTACTATACTACACTATACTACTATACTACACTATACTACTATATACACTATACTACTATACTACACTATACTACTATACTACACTATACTACTATACTACACTATACTACTATACTACACTATACTACACTATATACTATACTACACTATACTACTATACTACACTATACTACTATACTACACTATACTACTATACTACACTATACTACTATACTACACTATACTACTATACTACACTATACTACTATACTACACTATACTACTATACTACACTATACTACTATACTACACTATACTACTATACTACACTATACTACTATACTACACTATACTACTATACTACACTATACTACTATACTACACTATACTACTATACTACACTATACTACTATACTACACTATACTACACTATACTACTATACTACACTATACTACTATACTACACTATACTACTATACTACACTATACTACTATACTACACTATACTACTATACTACACTATACTACTATACTACACTATACTACTATACTACACTATACTACTATACTACACTATACTACTATACTTCACTATACTACTATACTACACTATACTACTATACTACACTATACTACTATACTACACTATACTACTATACTACACTATACTACTATACTACACTATACTACTATACTACACTATACTACACTATACTACTATACTACACTATACTCACTATACTAACTATACTACTATACTACACTATACTACTATACTACACTATACTACTATACTACACTATACTACCTATACTACACTATACTACTACTATACTACTATACTACACTATACTACTATACTACACTATACTACACTATACTACATACTACTACTATACTACTAACACTATACTACTATACTACACTAACTACCTATACTACTATACTACACTTACTACTATACTACACTATACTACAATACTACTACTATACTACTATACTACACTATACTACTATACTACTATACTACACTATACTACTATACTACACTATACTACTATATACTACACTATACTACTATACTACTATACTACTACTATACTATACTACTATACTATACTACTACTACTACTATACTACTACTATACTACTCTACTACTACTACTATACACTACTACTACTACTACTACTACATACTACTACTATACTACTATACTACTACTATACTACTACTAACTTACTACTACTACTACTATACTACTACTATACTACTACTACTATACTACTATACTACTACTACTACTACTACTACTACTACTACATACTACTACTACTACTACTAACTACTACACTACTACTACTACTACTACTACTACTACACTACTACTACTACTACTACTACTACTACTACTACTACTACATACTACTACTACTACTACTACTACTACTACACTACTACTACTACACTACTACTACAACTACTATACTACCTACTACTACTACAACTACTACTACTACTACTACACTACTACTACTACACTACTACTACTACACTACTACTACTACACTACTACTACTACTACACTACTACTACTACACTACTACTACTACTACTACTACTACTACTACTACTACACTACTACTACTACTACACTACTACTACTACTACACTACTACTACT